CCGCCCAACCGACTGAGCCACCCAGGCGCCCCATAAATTCCAATATTTTGGTTTGAGCCTTGCTCTAATCATTTTCCTCGTGTTTTAATACAAGAAATACTATTTTATTCTTAAAATTCTTCTTGTAGCTTCTCTTCTTGCAAAGATAAAAGTTTCAACTGACTAAAATTAATTTCAATTAATATTCTTTGTATACAATAATATTCTTGAAGGTAAAGTCAGAATGGCAACCTTAGAATGTCTTTGAATCTTGACAACTTTAGATGCTAAAATGCTTTTATATTTCTCTTCCTTTTAGCAATCAAAAGTGATTTCAATCAAACTTGTCATTAAAAAAAAAGTAAAATTTTCGGTCACATGTACATAGAACACTTTTTTTCAAATCTCTGACTTCAAAAACAGCTTTTCTTATATATTGGCATGATTTTCCTTCCTCAAGAGAGCTTTAATCTTTAATTAATTTAATCTTTAATTCATTATTTTAGCCCTTCCTGTATTGCCAAAGTGAAAAGTTCAAGTCTTCTAATAGCAGAAATCTATTTTTTCCTCTACCTCCAATATCTGTAAAACCCAATAAGGGGTGAAACACCAATTCCCAAATGGAAAAGCTTGCATGGGAACATTTGGTGATGGGTATACAATTAAGAATGGTGAGACAGATTTAATGAGAAAAAGTCCCTTTAATCGCTGATTAAGTATTTTGAATCTGAACAGTACTTTATATAAAATCTGTTGAAACTAAAAAAAAAAAAAAAAAAAAAAAAAAAAAAAAAAAAAAAAAAAAAAAAATCTGCTAAAATATCATGTAAAATTCCAAGGGCAAAAGGAAATTTAAGTTATATTACAAATGCTATGTTATTATATTATTTATTCCCATAATATATATTATACCATAAAAATACAATAATAGTACTATCTTTTAGTTTTACCTTTGTTGGTATAAAACTGTCTAGAACATAAATAAACTTAAAAAAATATTTGGGGCATCTGGGCTCAGTCAGTTAAGCATCCAACTCTTGATTTTGACTCGGGGCATCATCTTGCAGTTGGTGGGTTCAAGCCCCACATTGGGCTCTGCACTGATAGTATGGAGCCTGCTTGGGATTCTCTCTCCCCTTGTCTCTCTCTCTGCTCCTCCTCCACATGTGCGCGCTCTCTCTCTCAAAATAAATAAATAAGCTTAAAAAAAAAACACAACTGTTTAGAATATGCCACAGACTGCCAATGTGGAGATGGGCAGAGGGAATGAAAATAATGAGAAAATTGGGAGGGGCGGATGGGCTAAATAGGTAAGGGGCATTAAGGAATCTACTGAAATCACTGTTGTACTATATGACAACTAACTTGAATGTAAATTTAAAAAAATAAATTAAATGAAAAATAAAAAAAATTTCAAAAAGAAAATAATTAGAAAACAAAATAAAATTTCATGTTAATTGCTTTAAGTCATTATAAATAATATAAATTCCAGATCGTTTTGGAAGACAATAAAAGACTGTTGGGTTTATACATACCAAATACAAATCCATATTACTTTAAGATTTCTCAGAAACTTTAATACGCTAACATGCATCATTACATCTTCAAATATACTTGGTTTCTGCAACTTTTATCACCAAAGAATTATTTTTTTAGGAGTATCTGTTTCATAGTTTGGCAGCATAAACTTGGCAACACTGGCCTACAAATTCAGCTATCATATTTCTTTGCTGGGGAAAACTTTCTGCTATAGCTATGTATACATTTATAAACAAATTGAGTACTCTGGGTACGTCCCAAATTGAAAAGGACTGAGGGGCTCCTGGCTGGCTCAGTTAGAAGAACATATGACTCTTGATTTAGGAGTCATGAGTTTGAGCCCCATGTTGGGTGTAGAGATTATTTAAAAAAAAAAAAAAAAAAAAAAAAGTACTATATGAAACTTAAATAACAATTATACAAATTGAACCAAAATATGTAAGCAGACCTACATTTTTTTCAGACCTATTTTTTTTTTTTATTGTTTTAATGTTTTATTTATTTTTGAGAGCGAGAAAGAGAGGGAGACAGAGTATGAGCGGGGAAGAGGCAGGGAGAGAGGGAGACACAGAATCTGAAGCAGGCTCAAGGCTCTGAACTGTCAACACAGGGCCCGCATGGGACTAGCACCCACAAACCATGAGATCATGACTTAAGCTCAAGTCAGACGCTTAACCGACTGAGCCACCCAGGCGCCCCAAATATATATATTTTTTAAATGTGTATTTATTTTGAGAGAGAGTGCAAGTGGAGAAGGGGTAGAGAGAGAGAATCTCAAGCACGACACACGACTTGATCTACAAACCATGAGATGACTTGAGCCAAAATCAAGAATCAGACACTTAACCAACTGACCCACCCAGAAACTCCCAATTTTCTTATTAAGACTTATACCCACCTGACTACGATGTTCAATAGAATTTAATTCTTTGCCAGTTTTAAGTTCCAAAGGCATTATCTTATATTTTGTTTTATATCCTCGATGTATTTTCACACCAACTGTGACATCTATTTTGCCTTTCAATCCAAACCTAGGGGACCAAATGCTTTCTTCAATATCCAATGAATTTATGACTTCAATATTACATGTTGAATTATTGTTACTACCATCACTTGGCCTAAAAAACAAAACACAAAAATACTTAATTAGAACACTCAGCTCGTTTCTCATATGCTGGCATTAACTTCATTTTACAACAGAGAATGTGGGGATGGGAAACCATCCACATACCTTTATAGCAGTGATTCTCAAAGTGTGGCTCCTAGACTGGCAGCATCAGCATCACCTGGGAACTTGTTATAAAAGCAAATTCTCAGGCTCCACTCCAGACCTACTCAATCAGAAACTCTCTAGGTGAAGCCAAGCAATTTGTTTCACAAACTCTGCCAGTGATCCTGATGCATGCTCAAGTTTGAGATCTGCTATCCTATAGCCTCTAACTAATGTAATTTAAATTTTCTTAATGTTTATCATCTATCCTTTTCAGTTCATTTCTACTACAATCTTCCTAACTTGGGCCTTTAAATTCCCCAGTCCTAGATTACTACAGAAGTCTATTTAGACTATGGAAGCCACAATACCAATCTGAATATTCTGGTATACAATTATTACACTGATTAATATAAAATGGCTTGAATATGGTTGCACCCAGGGTAGCAAAGGTGTGTTCTTCATTAACACCATATTAAACTGTGTATGAGCTACCTTTCCCCATCACCTATGCAGTGTGTGTCTTGATTATCCAACACTTCACCGCTATACTCCCCACAACTATCTTCAAAAGGACCTCATGTGCTCCTACATTTCCTCATTGTTTTCTTTACTTAATCATTAAATGAATCCATCTCTGTCACTATCGATATTTAAAACTAAGTACTCAGCATTGTTGTTTGTATTACAAGAGGTTCTGAGTTTAATATCTTAACTGTTAAAAAAGCCAAGAGCACAGGAAGGAGGAAAAAAAAATCTATAAACATCAAAGGAATTAGGGGATGAAAATAACTTTCCAAGCCTCTTATACTTTTCTTAGATCTAAGATTTATTTTCAGAGCAGTAAGTTATTCTTCAGGAGAAAAGTCAGATAAGCACTAACTTTTATTAATCCTATTTCAGACTCAAAGCCAAATAAGATATTAAATCTAATGGAAATCTTACATGAAAAGGAAAATTTTTCTAGTAATAAAATGTAGTTTAAGGGCACCTGGGTGACTCAATCAGTTAAGCAGTCTTAATTTCGGCTTGGGTCATGATCTCACGGTTCGTGGGTTTGGGCCCCACATGTGGCTCTGCAATGATGGTGCAGAGCCTGCTTGGCATTCTCTCTCTCCCTCTCTCTCTGCCCCTTCTTGGTTCACAGGCTCACTCTCTCTCAAAAAAAAAAAAATTTTTTTTTAAGTATTTTATGACATATAAAAATTGAGATTTATTATAACTATCAGAATACATGATTTAGTTGACTCTGGTTTACTAATTTTATGTTATTAATTTACATCAGCAGCTATTTCTTAACAAATGAGAATATTTTTTAAGAGAAAAATTGCCACCTTCAGTCACTTTTTTTTTTTAAATTTTTTTAACATTTATTTTTGAGACAGAGAGAGACAGAGCATGAACAGGGGAGTAGCAGAGAGAGAGGGAGACACAGAATCCGAAACAGGCTCCAGACTCTGAGCTGTCAGCACAGAGCCCGACGCGGGGCTCGAACTCACGGAACGTGAGACCATGACCTGAGCCGAAGTCGGATGCTTAACCGACTGAGCCACCCAGGCGCCCCCTTCAGTCACTTTTTTAGCTGTTTCAGGATGCTTCAAATATAATCTCCAGGTATGTATGAAATTCAAGAAAGCTACAACTTATCTGAAATTTCTTAAATATTATTGTTTTCTCTATCCAAATGTTATCTAATCGTGTTATATATTCAAATATGTGGTGAAATAACACAAACTTTATTATTCACAAAATGTTACATATATACTTAATAGAAGATAGGTAATGAAACTGTTAATGTTGCTAATAAAATTCATTCCCCTAGAAAAAAGAGTAATGTGATTTTACACCTAGATCTGTGGAATAAATGACAGTATTTGAATTCAACTACTATGATTTTAATCAACATAATGCTATAAAACTCCTTCAAGAAAGACCTGATGGAGAATAGAGTATCATGAAAATGAAGAAAATATACATTTACCACCAATTGATGAGAAAGTTGTCTCTTTAAAAGGCTTTTAAAGGTCTCATTCTTGGGATGCCTGGGTGACTTAGTTGGTTAAGCATCTGACTTTGGCACAGGTCATGATCTCACGGCTTGTTAGTTTGAGCCCTGCATCAGGTTCTGTGCTGATAGCTCAGAGCCTGGAGCCTGATTCAGATTCTGTGTCTCTTTCTCTCTCTGCTCCTCCCCCGCTCACACAGTCTCTCTCTCTCTCTCTCTTTCTCAAAATAAACATTAAAAAATTAAAAAATAAATAAATAAAGGACTCATTCTCTGTGCTATATACTAAATTTTTTGTTGTCGTTGGTTTTGTTTTGTTTTGTTTTTTTAAAGACTGGCTATAAACTGCTGGGAAAAGGGCACAAGCTAAACTACAGAGGAGCGCCTTCTTCACAGACATATAAGATTCCATTAGAAATAACTGACACAAAGAAAAATCTTATACCAAAACACAGAGATGAGAACACTGAGCTGGGAATCTTGGTTCCTACTATAGACTCAACTCCATCACTGTTTTTCATATAAAACCTAAACAAGTCACACTACATTTCAAGTCAAAGACAACTCTGAATCCCACCCTTTCCCCAGCTTCCTGATATACTTCTTCCAGCCTACCAAATCCCTTGTTGATCCATCCTAATCCCTCAGCCTCCTTTGATGGAGTCTACTCATCTCCCCCTCTGTCCTTACATAGCACACCCTTACCTCCCAGAGTTCTGTGCCTCTTCTGTTGCCCTGCATGTTTTCTTTGAGCAATGCCCTCCACTCCTATGTTTTCAACTACCAGCAACAGAGTTTTGGAGAGAGTTAGTCTCCCTGTAACACTAGTACCTAGCATAATCCTGAGCACAGACACAGCATATGGAATACATGTTTGCTGAATAGGTTAAGTCCATGAGTCTATGAGAAAATGCAGCTTATGACTGCAAAAACAGTAAGTTTTAACCAAAAGAAAAAACATGGAGACAAAATGCTAAAACAATTAAAGAGTAAAAGAAAAGCTAATATCTGAAACAATCATGAAAATGGATATTCACTACAATTTTAACTTTCAAGCAAATTTAAAGAACTCCAAAATAAACAAGAAAGGAAAAGAAAGGTGTGTAGTGTGGGAGGGTAAATAAGGATAAAGAAAGAATTAGGAACAAGAGAAATCAAAAATTCAGCTTGTAATTATTACAGAAAATCAATAGAGACCAGAATGACAGAAATACTACAAAACAATGCAAGGAATCAAGAAAAGAATGACTACTTAATAAACACTTAGTTGTTTATCACAATGAAGACTAAAGTACCAAGATCCATGCCCCATCCTAGACACAGGCAATCTGCTCCAAAGAAATAACAAAGAATGAAGCATTTATAAATTTATAAAAAACACTACAAGGAGAGGCTGGGGGTTGGGTGGGGGACACCTGGGTGTTGGACTTTGGCTCAGGTCATGATCTCACGGTTCACAAGTTCGAGTCTCACATCAGTCTCGCTGCTGTCAGCACAGAGCCCACTTTGGATCCTCTGTCCCCTTCTCTCTGCTGCTGCCCAGCTTGCATGCGCTCTCTTTCTCAAAAATAAATAAACATTGAAAAAAAACAAAACACTACAAGGGGGCACCTAGGTGGCTCAGTCAGTTAAGCATCCTACTCTTGATTTCAGCTCAGGTCATCATCCCAGGGTCGTGGGATTGAGCCCTGGAGTCTGCTTAAGATTTTCTCATTTCTTCTGCCCCCCTCCCTGCTCAAGTGTTCTCTCTCTCTAAAAAAAATTAAATTAAATTTAGTTTATTTTTAAAGTTTAATTTATAAATAAATATGTATTTCAAAATCAAAAAAATAATAAATAAAATAATATAAAAATCTAAATCCTGGCAAACTGATTGTGGTAATGGTGCACAACTCTACAAATATACTGAGAGTCACTGAACTGTAAATAATAATAATAAAATAAATAAAAATAATTAAAATCCTGCTGGCAGATATAGGATTTCTTAAATTATCATTTTTTTTAAAGCTTATTTATTTATTTTTGAGAGACAAAGAAAGAGGGTGAGCAAGGGAGGGGGCAGAGAAAGGGAGGGAGAGAATCCCAAGCAGGCTCCATGCTATCAGCACAGAGCCCAATGCAGGGGGAAGAGCAGAGAGACAGAGACGAAGAGAAAATCCCAAGAAACTTCTGCGCTGCCTGACTTGGGGCTGGATCTCACAACTGTGAGATCAAAACCTGAGCCAAAATCAAGAGTCTGACACTTAACCGACTGAGCCACCCAGGCACCCCAGACACAGGACATTAAACATTACTAGCAACCTTCTAAAATGATTACAAAATTCTCAGAGAATTCTAGCAATATGTAAAATGTTGTAAAATTTCTAAATATCTTTGATGAAATAGTCCACTTCTGAGATTTCAATGCCAGGAAATAAGTGTTCTCATAGTCAACCCTTCCACTAGTGTACCCTCATTCCTTCTCCATACTCAAGACATAACTGAACTCTCCCATCTCTCAGGATGAATTCTGCCTTCTCTGTGGAACTCTCCCTGTCAGCATATGAACATGTCATACTTCCCATCTTCAAAACAACAGCAAATCTCTCTTAACCCCACATGAGCCTCTGCCTACCATTCCATTTCTGTGTGTTCTTTCATAGAACAACCTCTCAGTATGGTTGTCTAACTCCCTGTCTCCAAATCCTCCTCTACCAGTCTCTCTTGATGCCCTTCTAAACACACCTGCTCCCCTAGAATCACTGCTGACTATTCTTTCCCTCTTACTCCACATCCAATCCAAAATCTATCAGTTCCACCTCTCAAGTCTGACCAAAATCCAACTGATTCTCATCACTTCCACAACTCTCACTGTGGTCTAAGCCACCGGCTTCTCTTACTTGGATTCTTGAAAGAGCCTCCAAATTGGTCTACCTCTGCCCTTAGCCTACATCATAGTCCCAAAAAAGCAGCCAGAATGAGCCTTTTAAAAGTAAATCTGAGCAATGCATAAACTAGTACAGGGGTTAAGTCACACAGCTAAATTGTGGCAAAACTGGGATTCACATCTGGTCTCAGTATCTCCTTTTTTCTTTATTAAAAAAAAATTTTTTTTTTAATGTTTATTTTTGAGAGATAGAGTGCAAGAGGGGGAGGGGCAGAGAGAGGAGACACAGAATCTGAAGCAGGATCCAGGCTTAGAGGTGTCAGCAGTGCCTGATGCAGGGCTTGAATCCATAGAAATGCAAGATCATGACATGAATCTAAGTCAGACACTTAACCAACTAAGCCAACCCAGTCACTGCTGTCCTTTGAACCAGGGAACCTCAGAAAACAAATTGATCAAAGGAACTGACGGTTCCCAAGATTTCTGTTGCACAAGTCTTAAACAAGTTATTCAGATCACAAAATGTCCTGAGATAAAATACTAAGAATATTGAAAACAAATATTAAGAATATTAAGAAAAAGTTAAGAATATTTACATGAATGGAAGCCGTGCCTATTCAAAAAAAAAAGAAAAAGAAAATGTTGCTCATTTAAAAAAAAAAAAGTTAAATCAAAACCCTCTGTGCAAACTCTCCAGTGGCTTCTTATCTAATCAGAACAGCAGCCAAAGTCCTGACATGGCTTCTTCCAAGGCCCCAGGAAAGCTACTTCTGCTCCTTCCTGTCTCACTCTGCTCCGGCCACCCTGGCAAGTGTGCATCACCCAGGGCTTTTACCTGGAACGTTCTTCCTGGACACAGCTGCACGGTTACCTCCTTGATTTCCTTCAGGCTTCACCTCAACACCAGCTTATTACAGAGGCCTTTCACAACCATTCAGTGGAAACATGTCCCACCACCACCACTACCAACTCCACTTTCCTTCTCACATTATTCCACACTGCATTTATCACAATCCAGCCCCCTGTTATTTACTTGTTCAGTAGTCTAGAAGCACCTTGAAGTCAGCTGCTTTTTTTTCATACGATAATCCCAGCACATAGAACATCATTACTTGGCACATATTAAGCATTCAATAAATATTTCTTGAATGAGTAAATAATGAAAGAGAAAAAAAAAGTATTACCTATTATCAATGCTACTTTAAGGGGGAAAACAATAAAATCCCAATGCCAAACAGCATTAAATGGTTAAATGCAGGATTTAAACATAAAGCACAAATCCACAGGACAATCAACAGATGACATAGTCCATATATGATAGTAATAGAAATATATATGAAATTAGGACCCCCACAATATTTACAAATTGGTTATTTAAAAAACATACTGACATACAAAAATCAGAAGAGTTTATTATAGTGAAAATAGAATTTTTATTCACTAGATTATTTTTGGTTTTGGAAAGACACTCAGAACTGTAATTTATAAAATAAGCAAACAAAAGCTAGTTGTAATAACTTGACCTTTTAAAAAGCTTTAATTCAACATACAGAATAAAATCCTAATCTGAACATATGAACACTATATAAACAAAATGAGTTTCTTACAGAGAGAGCTGCATCTGAGGGAAGTCAGTTGAAATATATTTATGCATGAAATCTCCGGCCCATTTAGAAAATGAAGGAAGATACTCCTCTACTTCTTGTTTTATCTCATCTTGATTCAAATTTAAGCGATACCTGCCAAAATAAGAGATTAAACATGAAAGCATGAATATGAAAAAAGTAAGTAAGGACAAAAATATCCAAATAAGCAACTTAAGTTACTCAGCAACTAATTAACGGATATATAACGTGGTGTATACATGGGGCACTTGGCTGGCTCAATCATAGAACATATAACTCTTGATCTCAGGGTCATGAGTTCAAGCCCCACATTGGGGATAGAGTTTACTTAAAAAATAAATAAATAAAATCTTCTGTTGGGGTGCCTGGATAGCTCAGTTAAGTGCCTGACTTCAGCTCAGGTCATGATCTCATGGTTGGTGGGTTCAAGCCCCATCTGGGGCTCGCTGCTGTTAGCGCAGAGCCCGCTTCGGATCCTCTGTCCTCCCTGCTCTCTGCCCCTTCCCTGCTCATGCACTCTCTCTCAATAATAAACAGACATTTTTAAAAAAATCTTTTTTTTAATGTGGTACATATGTACAATGGAATATTATTCAACCTTAAAAATAAAGAGAGCAGAACCCTCTGAGCCCTCCAAAACTGGTTCAGCAGGGAAGACAAAATTAGCAACCCTAGCTCTGCCAAGATTGTGTCTCCTGGGCATAGCAGCAACCTCAAGCTGAAAGAGAAGCTGAAATTCCTCAAGCCAGAGAGCAACTGCTAATACCAAAATACCCCAAATGATCATACATTCAGAATACCAGAGGCAAAGGTTATCCTTACAAAAGGTTGCTTCAAATCTGGCAACTTCCAGTTGATAAAAGAAGACGTAGGCGAGAATGCGGTAAAACAAGGATTCATGTAAACTAATACAATGCCTATAGAGAACAATTTGGCAATAATTATCAAAAATGTTATTTATTTTTGGGGCGCCTGGGTGGCTCAGTCGGTTAAGCATCCAATTTCAGTTCAGGTCATGACCTCACAGCTCATGAGTTCAAACCCCATATTGGGCTCTGTGCTGACAGTTCAGAGCCTGGAGCCTGCTTCAGATTCTGTGTCTCCGTCTCTCTCTGCCACTACCCTGCTCATGCTCTCTTTCCTTCAAAAATAAATATTTCAATAAATATTTTTTTAATGTTTATTTATTTAAATAATCTCTACACTCAACATGGGGCTCAAACTCACAACCCCAAGATCAAGAGTCACATGCTATTCCAACTGAGTCAGCCAGCCTCAGTATTCAAAATACTAGATGTACCCAGACTAGATCCTGTCCTGGAGGGGAAAAGATGGTATGAAGGAAGGACATTATTGGACAAAAATGTGGACAGATCAGACAAAAGTATTTTACCAATATTAAATTTCCTGACGTTGAAACCATATTGTGATTACATAAAAGAAAAGCCTAATCTTAGGAAACACACACTATACATTATGATTTTTTACTTCAGGGGCATAAGCCCTGAGCCCATCTGGCTCATCATTAGTGACAACGAGCCATGAGCAAAGTCCTTGGCTAGCAGCAAGCTGCCTCATCAAGCACTTAGGCCCCTCACCCAGCCATCAAACATCACCACATGCCTGGCCCCAACCACAACAAGAGTATGGGGAGTAAAGGCCTGAAGGCAAGGTGAGCAAGATCAGTTCTTCCCATTGCAGTAAGCATCCTGAGCCCACAGGGCACCCCAGAATGTCCAGGGCCCTGCTCAATCTGTTCTATGGCTAGCATCTTCATGGTATACAGCCCATTGTGTATACCAGATGTATACTACACAACCTTAGGGGAAAAAAATCTATACACACGCACACACACATTTAGCAGATGAATCTGAGTAAACAGTACATGAGTGTTGACTGCACTAATCTTGCAACTTTTCTTTAAATTTGAAATTATTTCCAAATAAAAAGAGTTTTTAAATGTTTTAAGTGTACATATTCTGTGGCCCAACAATTCCACTTCTAAGTATTTAACCCAATATACGCCTCACAGGTGTGAAATAAAAGATGTATAAAGGTATTTCTTAGGGGTGCCTTACTTAGTACAGCATACAACTCTTGATCTCAGGGTCGTGAGTTCAAGCTCTGCATTGGGTATGGAGCCTACTTTAAAAAAAATCTTGGGGCACCTTGGTTGAGCATCTGACTTTGGCTCAGAACCCACAGTTCATGGGTTCAAGTGCCATATCAGGTTTTGCGTTGACAGTACAGAGCCTGCTTCGGATTCTGTCTCCCTCTCTCTCTGCCCCTCACCTGTTCAAGCTCTCTCTGTCTCAGAAATAAACATTAAAGAAAATGTTTTTAAATCTTTAAAAAAAAAAAAGTTATCTCTTATAGGATTGCTAATAAAAGCAAAGATTGAAATGCCAAGGAGATACTTAAATAAATTACAGTACATCCATACAATGAAACATTATGTCATTATTAATTAAAAATGAGACAGCTTGATGAGTACTGATATGGAATGATCAGCAAGATTTAATCTTTTTTTTTTTTTTTTTTTTTTTTTTTTTAATTAACGTTTATTTATTTTTGAGACAGAGAGAGACTGAGCATGAACAGGGGAGGGGCAGAGAGAGAGGGAGACACAGAATCAGAAGCAGACTCTAGGCTCTGAGCCATCAGCCCAGAGCCCGACGTGGGGCTCGAACTCACGGACCACGAGATCATGACCTGAGCCGAAGTCGGACGCTTAACAGACTGGGCCACCCAGGCGCCCCAAGATTTAATCTTTAACGTGAACTTAAATCTTTAAGTGAACAATAATATACATGTTATTCTACAATTTACCTAATGAAAAATATATAGGTGTGTGTATGTGTGTATGTAGGTGTGTATGTGTGTATACACACACACACACACACACACACACATACACACACACACATACATTGTCACACATAAATGTGTGAAATCTCTGTGAAAGGATATGTAAGAAACTGATAGCAATGGTTGTCTTTAGGAAAAGGAACTAGGTAACAAGTAGGATACAGGGAGAAAGGACTTACTTTTTTACCATATACCTCCTTGTACTATTACAATATGGTAAACACAAATTTATAATCTGTTTAAAAATAATAACATTATTTAAAAAATACCTGCACAATTGGGTACTCATTTCCTTTTTTTATTATTATTTAATTTTTTTAATCTTTATTTTTGAGAGAAAGAGAGAGAATACAAGTGAGGAAGGAGCAGAGAGAGAGGAAAACACAGAATCCAAAGCAGGCTCCAGTCTCAAGCTGTCAGCACAAAGCCCAATGTGGGGCTCACTCATGAACCATGAGATCATGACCTGAGCCAAAGTCAGATGCTTAACAGACTGAGCCACCCAGGCACCCTGGGTAATCTTTTCCTAAATAACTTTCTCTAACCATCATGGAGCCATTCTTTACTGTCATAATCTCCTTAGGCAGATTCTTCCAAGTGTTTTATTTCTTACAGAGCAGGACTCTATTTAAAATCTCCAAACCAGTTCATACTCATTATTTAATGTCTTCTGCATTTAAATTCTCCCTTTTTACCAAAAACCATAAAATACCTAGGAATAAACCTAACCAAAGAGATGAAAAACTATTCACTGAAAACTACAGAAAGCTTATGAAAGAAATTGAAGAAAACACAAAAAAAATGGAAAAACAGTCCATGCTCGTGGATTAGAAGAACAAATACTGTTCAAATGTCAATACTACCCAAACCAATCTACATATTCAATGCAATCCCTTTCAAAATAACACTGGCATTCTTCACAGAGATAGAACAAACTATCCTGTATGGAACCAGAAAAGACCCTGAGTAAGCCAAAACAATCCTGAAAAAGAAAACCAAAGCCAGAGGCATCACAATTCCGCACTTCAAGCTGTATTACAAAGCTATAGTCATCAAGACAGTATGGTACTGGCACATGAACAGACACATAGATCAAGGGAACAGAATAGAGAACCCAGAAATAGACCCACAAACATATGGCCAACTAATCTTTGACAAAGCAGGACAGAATATCCAATGGAAAAAAGATAGTCTCGGTGCACCTGGGTGGCTCAGTTGGTTAAGCTTCCGACTTCAGCTCAGGTCATGATCTCACGGTTTGTGAGTTCGAGCCCTATGTCGGACTCTGTGCTGACAGCTCAGAGCCTGGAGCCTGCTTTGGATTCTGTGTCTCATTCTCTGTCTGCCCCTCCCCAACTTGTGCTCTGTGTCTCTATATCTCTCAAAAATAAATGTAAAAAAAAAAATTTTTTTTTTAAAGTTTCTTCAGCAAATGTTGTTGGGAAAACTGGACAGCGACATGCAGAAGAATGAACCTGGACCACTTTCTTACACCATACACAAAAATAAACTCAAAATGGATGAAACACCTAAACATAAAACAGGAAGCCATCAAACTCCTATAGGAGAAAACAGGCAACAACCTCTTTGACCTCAGCTGCAGCAACTTCTTACTTGACATGTCTCTAGAGGTAAGGGCAACAAAACAAAAATGAACTACTGGGACCTAATCAACATAAAAACCTTCTGGGGGTCCCTGGGTGCTCAGTCGGTTAAGCTTCCAACTTTGGCTTAGGTCATGATCTCACCGTTTGTGGGTTTAAGACCCGCTTCGGGCTCTGTACTGACAGCTCAGAGCCTGGAGCCTGCTTCAGATATTCTCTCTCTCAAAAATAAACTTAAAAAGAAGTTTACTAAGAAACTTTAAAGAAAATTAAACATCAAAAGCTTCTGCACAGCAAAGGAAACAATCAGCAAAACTAAAAGGCAACTGATGGAATGGGAGAACATATTTGCAAATAACATATCAGATAAAGTCTTAGGACCCAAAATCTATAAAGAACTTACCAACTCAATACCCAAAATACAAATAATCCAGTGAAGAAATGGGCAAAAGACACGAATAGACACGTTCCCAAAGAGGACATCCAGATGGCTAACAGACACATGAAAAGATGCTCAACATCACTCATCACCAGGGACATACAAAAAAAAAAAAAAAAAA